GTCGAACTGCTCTGTCGTAAGGCGAAATGAGGACTGTCCTACAGCTTTGGGGTGTTCGGATCAGCGCTTTGCAAGACGGTTTGGGTTTTGGCGGTGGCGACCAGACTTTACGGATCTCGGGTGGCGATCGGCTCTTCGCCGATGCTTTTACCATTGCGCCGCCTCTTCTCTGAATGCGGATGGCGGTGCTGGTCGAATCAACAGCGTGCGATCGCGCGCCGTTTCCAGATGGAGGACAACAAGAGCAAATTGTTCAACAAGTGGGTAACTCGCTGCTGGCTGCACCATCAGAATGGCAAGTGAAGTTGGTGATAGATCGTGACTGCAAGGGGCTCGATTTCTGAAATGGTAGCGGCGAAGTGCCGATGGCAGGATGTCCACTGCGCTCTATACATTTTTGCAACGAGATTGGAAGTGCCCATGCTCACCAGACCATCTAATGCATTTAAAACCAGTCTCCACTACATGTAGAGACCACGGTCAGTCCGTGTGCGGCAACAAAGCATTCTCACCCACCCATGCGCAGCACCAAACTTGTGCCACCAAGCCGTGCGATAGCTACTGTGCGTGGCCGTCGTTCAGACAATATGGTCGGTGAGCGACTTTCGCATAAGCGTTTCTATTTTCTGGCATGTTCTTGCTATCGCTGCCTTGGCTTGGTTGCTTCACTGTCAGAAGCAAGCAGCCAAGCTATCACGTTACCTTATCAGGACGGCGGCACTCGCTCGAATACAAGTGTGAACACGCGCTATTGGTAAACACGCGGTAGAAGTCGATGGCATGATACCAGTAACCCAACACGATTCGTAGTCTGTCAGACTGTGCATGTACGTGTATTGCCACCGACAAGGTATAAATCACCACAACTGAAATCCATTTTGCTAGCACGACTTCGCCAAGGACAAGATCGATAGTTCGTGCATGAATTCAAGTAGCTGAGACCAGGCTCCACTTGATCTTGTGCAAAATGGGTATAATTGTGTAGCCCTTTTGTGTGGATAAAAAACCATTTCTTAGAAGAGCTGAAAATCAATTTGTCTGCTAAACTAATGTCTACTGAAAACTTGATTTCAGTAAGGGATACAATCTGAATCCAGCTCAGATTCTTAATTTTAGAGCAGTTCCTCGCTTTTGTACTCAAATGTCTCAGATAAATCTGATCTACAAAAAAATGGAACCGATAACTCTGCTTTGGCTGTAACCCACACTTACCGCACTTGCCAATTCCCCACCAACAAAACCAACAAGACCTCGTTCTCGTATCAAATGTTGAATATGCTGCAGCAGCCCAAGGATCTGTTCCACACCGTGCGCGAGACGCTCTTCGTGCGCTTCGTGTTCGCCATCCTCACGCCTTTCATCTTCGTGCTCGGGACGCTGCTACGCTCGCACTACCGCAAGGTCAACGGAGAACGCACCCCAGGTCTCACCCGCTACCGGCAATAGAACCAAGTTGGTTACCAGCAACCAGCAACACGTAGACTCCTAGGACACACAATTAATATAATCTAGCTATTCACCGTCAGTGCAGCAGTTTCACTAAACGTTGGTGCAGCACAGTCGTTTTTACCATTTATAGTGGTGACATTGATCCGTGATGGGGTCCTCACGCGCTCTGTGGGTTCTACTTGCAACTGCAATATGGTTGAACGCTATTGCAGTCGTGCTAGCCGAAGGAGAGGAGCCCGCGCACCCTGTCTGCCGCTTCATTGCCAAGGACTCGCTGTCGTTTTGCTTCATGGTGGATTACATGGCGGTGGTTGACACCGACGACCCCACCGGGACTAAATTCGACAGCAAGGCCGAATTTTACTACCGCAACGTGGACATTGTGCTCCAACGCTTCGGTTGCCACGCCAAGTACAGCGTCTACGGATGCGACGACTGTCGCGAGGCGTACAAGTACTGGATTTGCAGTATTAAGTTCCAGAAGTGCGGCTCGCAGACTGTCACGACAGATAGAGGCGCTACGAAGCTGGTCTACTCGACAGACATGTGTGACTACTCCACCACAGCAACAGCAACCTCAACGGCAGCGAGTACTACTAAAAGCACGAAAACGACTGCTTCTGCTTGTGTTGAAGGCTCATCCGGGCGTTATCGCACTTGCTTATCCATTTGCGAAGATGTCGTGAGGAAATGCCCCTACGTGCTCAATTTCCAGTGCCCGACGGTAAGATATTGTAGCAATACAGCTGTGGGCTCGTATTCATCGCCGCTATGTCTTGGCAGACCGAGACGCCATTCTTCTCAGCCGATATTGCTACTTGCAACAGGCTGGATCGAGTCACCAACCCGGATCGTCCAAGTCGCCCATGGCCAGGAACTTTTGCCGACGCGTAAGATAATCATGCAGCCTGTCATTTTGAAGAGAACATCATATCGAGACACGGAACAATGTGGGTTATCGTTATAAACCTTGTTGGCGCTGGGGGGCTCGTTCATAGGTTTCCATTTCAAGGTAAAGGGAGAATAGTACATGCAATGACTGCACATATTTGTCTCCATACACTGGGATATCCAACACTCCGCAGACGATCTTCGCCAACTCCTTCAAATTCACATCAAGTTCGAATAATCCAGGTATTGCACCGCCCCTGGCTGCTAGGAAATCCTCGAATTCTTCCGGCCACAGCTCCATTAACCGAGATACCGGCGGCATGGGCTGCTTGTAGCTCACTTGTGCCAAAGGTTTGGTCCGTTGAATCTTTTCGACGCTGGTGATCCACTGATCGATCTCTTGCGGACGATGAGATGCGTTCTCGATACTTCGCACCACGTCGCTTCTACTTCGAAGTTTGTTCTTGTTAGCCATGCTCATTTGCATCAGAAGCTCCAGTTCAGCTACATTGGTCTGTCCTGACGATTCTCGAAGCACATCGACGCCAATATTACCCTCTTTGCCGTCTGGCCTTGGGATCTGACCAAACATACTAGGAGATTAGCGGGGTAATATTCATTGTACAATATATAAGCGTCACTAACCAGGATTCCATCGAACGGTAAACCCACAGAGGGAGTGAATTCAGGAAGGAACGGCTCCAACCGCGTTTCAATCTCGATATCTTCTGGTGTGTAGGCATCTGTCAGCTATCCAGAAAACACGCATATTTACAGTAAGTATCACATGACGTAGGTCTAGTACGAGAGCTAGCGAGATCTCACATCAGCCACCCGAGCAATGCTGTAAATAGGCCACTCACGCTGAAAAGCTCCTCCAGTTCTCGAGGCACTTCCACTTTATACTTCTCATGTTCGTCAGGCCTTGATTTCACACTCTTGCTGGTAATATCTGGTCGTGGTGAAGGTGGGTTGGTCGAAGGAGGGACATCGGCACTTGCAGTGCCTTCGAACTGCTGGAAAAAGTCGTTCGGCACGACATCTCGATACTTCTCGAGATCCTTTGCAGCCGTCTTTGGTCGACCAAACGCAGATCTTTCCATCTCAAGCTGAAACATGTGAGTTTTTCTTTCGTTGCCGTCGTCACTCTCCTCATCTTCCGAAGAGCTTGAGGCATGAAATTCAGCTGCACGCGATTGTTCCACATCTTTGACTTCGTACTCATCTTCGTCTTCACCAAACTTCTCGGCATATTTCAAATCTGATCGGTTTGTAGTTAATCTGGTGTTGATCAGGGTGGCTCCAAAATCTGCTGCAGTGACGCCTGCTGTTTGTAGTTTCTTCACAGAAAAAAAAATTTCAGTGAGCCTTTCAGTTGGCGTACGAGCATGAAAGTACAATTACTCGATAAACCGAACTCACTTGTGCAATTGGACTCCCAGGGATTTCAGGCGGTTCATCCGAATCCTCATCCGAGTCCTCCTCTCGACCAAACCCACCCATCGAATCCTCACCATTGCGATACCCCAATCGGTCTACAAAGTCGTTCTCGCTGCTGCTATCACTGCTCACATCCACATCACTATCCCCACTACTACTCGAGTGATCACGTGCTGGAGAAAATTAAAAATGCTCAGCTATAACCTCATTCTCAATGACAAGCAAGCAAACACGTACATCGATTCAAAGGTGAGGACGAAGCGGTGTCCACGCTGACAGCGCACCACAGCCAGCCGGTGTTATCAATAAAAAATCCACTTTTGGAGTAGCGCAATATCAAGTAGTATTCATTACCCACACACCTCACTTGCATATTGTCATCCAGATCGTGCACCTCGTCCATACTCTGCTAGCACAGATCTCCATCATTTCCAATCTACTGCTGCAACTCAATCCAACCAACACCCGCATTACCTCATCTTCCAGCAGGACCTTCTCCTGCAACATAATCCCAGTTAGATCCTCTTTGTCCTCTCTACCTTCATACATGTACTCACCTCGTCCGAGTCGCTCATGCTGAATGCTGGATCTTGAAAAGACGCTATCATTTTAAAGTCACACACCCGCAACATATTAAACCAGCAACATAACATTACCGCAACTTATCCACCACAAGCGTCCTAACCTGTCATTCCCGATACAAGTCACTATGGCCGAGTTCCAGGCCATCATCCTGGCTGGCGGCCGCGGCATCCGCCTGTACCCACTAACCGAGGAGACGCCCAAGGCGCTACTCCCTGCCAATGGCAAACCGCTGCTCTGGTACCAGCTTCACCTTCTGGAAACCTCGGGCTTTACAGAGGTGCTGGTGCTCACAATTCCAGACCTCCTGGCCCCTATTCAGGACTATTTGACCCGCGAATTCGACGGCAAAATCCACGTGGAACTGTGCGAGGTGACGGATAACACGGAGACGGCCGACGCATTGCGAGAGGTGGCCGACAAGATCAAACGCGACTTCATCGTATTGGCTGGAGACCTGGTGACGGACGTGGTGCTGCACAATGTGGCGGATTTCCACCGTATCAACGACGCCAGCGTCACGATGCTGCTGCGTCAAGAGGCACCTGTCAGCAAGGCGAAAGGAGAGAAACCGCGTCGCGATAAGGACATGACGGACTGCATTGCGCTCGTCGAGGGCCAGCGGGACGAGGAGAACCGTGTCGTGTTGGTCTCCCAAGCTGTGCACATGAACGAGGACCTGTACGTGCCCAAGAGTCTGCTCAAGCGTCGCAGCAACTTCGTGCTGCATACGGATCTGTACGACGGTCACTTTTACTTCTTCTCGCACTGGGTGCTGGATCTGCTGCAGGAGAAGAAGTACATTGCCAGTATCAAGGCCGACTTGATCCCCCATCTCGTGCGTCGACAATTCCGTGGAAAGGAGGCTCTGCCCGAGAGCGTGAGGAGCAAAGCCACTAGTAAACAGGAGCTCGCAGCTTCGCTTTCGCTGTCCGAGGAGAAGCACGACCCCGAGGATCTCGTACGCTGCTTCGCCTATGTGCTGCCGTCGAACGCCTACTGCGAACGAGCGGACACCATCCCGGCGTACCGAGCTATGGACGAGGAGGTCGGTTCTCGACTTCGCATTAAGCGGTCGGGGTCCGTCTCTAACTAGGTGTCTTATCTTCTGGCAGTGCAGCTTAGATGGAATGAGAAGGCCAGTAAGTAAATAAAGAGGCATTTGCTAGAAGACCCGAACGCATTGCAGTCATTACCTTAAACACTACTTAAAAAGCAAAAAAAAACAGCAAGCAAACGAGCACACGGGTCTTCGCGATCACGAAGAACATTCACTCGTCTCCATCAGCGCGAGGCTTGCCTCACTGTTGCACAGCACAGCAGCGATCCGTTGAAACTCCGTTCTCAATGCGCTAGCATCCAGTACCCGTCGATACTCACCACCCATTTCCGTCGCCATGCGCTCCAGCACGGGCAAATTCACGTGCCCGAAGCCCACAACGAAAGCCTTCAAGTCGTACTTTGCGTACGTAGCGTGAATGTGTTTGGCAAGCGTGATACCCAGATCGATATCCCATGGACGACCATCCGAGAAGAAAATGAGCACAGCCTTTAACTCCTGGAAATTGGTCCTCGATAAGACCTCATTGGCCGCACGCAAGCCTTGCTCGAAGCACGTCCCTCCTCCAGCGTACGGGATCCTTATCCCTACAGACTTCTTCAAAGGTTTCGCCTCGCAGTGAATGTGGCTCGTGTTATCAAAAGTGATAAACGAGACTAAATCATTGTCTCCTCCATCTTTAAGCCGGTTGATGGTAAACTCGCTCACTGCGTGCAGCAAATTCTGCCAGGGCTGCCCACTCATGGATCCGGAGCTGTCCAATACGAAAATGGTGTGAAATTTTCCTGAATCCACCGCATGTACGCACTCGAACTGGTGACCATCAATGTACGCGAAGCCATCATCACCTTCGGGTTTCACTTCGGGCAGATGCCATGCATCCAGTACACAATACGACGGCTGGTTGTCTCCTCCTTTGTGCTCTGGGGCATCGCACTGGAATGGACATTTCGCGAACAACGCGCGCTCAATCTCACTGCATGGGTCCTCCCATCCGATCGACGCCCAGAAGTTAGCGTGAAGAAGTTGATCCATCTCTTGATCCGGACGTGGGAATAAGCTATCCATGCAATGACGACGCTGATCCTCACTGGCATCCCCAGTGTACACGCACCTCGTCACACCTTCGCCTTCGCATGGCAAATAGTGCGTATGGCCACGTCCCATCTTGGTGCAAAACAGGTTACACATTTCGGCGATACCTCGCTCGCCCACTTGGTACTTGCGATCCTCGATATCAATATCGTTACCCTTTGCAATGAAATAAGTCTGCCTCATGTTGCCGTGAGAGGTAGCATGCAGATCCATGTGACCAAAGTGTTTGTTGCAGTAGTAACTACAAGACGGGCATCTCGCATCGCAGTAATGGGCCGTGCTCTGACCAAGGGATTCAGCAAGACAAGAATGGCCAACCCCGCCGTGATCCAGTTCACCGCTTGGTAGTACACAGGCACACTGCTTCTTACACCCATTCATCTCTTGGAAAATGTACTCGAATGAGCCACGTTCACCAGTGAATCTCCGAGACGACTTCTTCAAATGAACTTTCTGTTCACAAATGCCGTCCACTGTGCACATTTCTCCACAGGCATGACTCCCAGTACACATGTGCGTTTCTGAAGTATTGTCCACGACATTTCCACCCAATTCCACTCCACTTTCAATCGCAAATGCACGAGACTCCGCAGCTTGGCCGTGAAAATGGTTCGTTACTCCGCAATTGCGTTTGCATTCCTTCATCTTCCACGGATGGGTGCACTGTACTTCAGCACACTTGTGGATGGAGTGTTCTCGCTGAATGTCAAGTAAGCAAGTGGCACTGCAGTTGGCTGCAGAGCAGACAGCACCACACACATGAACCTGCACAGAGCAGTAATGATCTCCACTATGGTCCGCCAGTTTCGAGCAGATTTTATCACAGTTCGATGCTCGAGAGAAGACACAACGTTGCCCACAAGTGTGATCTCCTTTCTCACATTCACATTTCCCTTCATGACCAGCACAGCGAGAGCACGGAGGAATGTTAGTCTGACATTCGACATATTCACAGAGACCTCGACACTTGTGGTCGGTGGTGCAGCTGTGCTCGACCTCGGACGAGTGCGTCACCGAATGCATGCATCCAAGCTGGCAGTGTGCACACTGCGACATGTACGTGATCAGTTGGTCTACGTGACGTTGCTCGAGCTGCGTTCTCACCTCCGACAAATGGTCGCCCAAAGTACCGTGAAGCCAACGCGATACCTTAAGTTTTCGACGGCGTAGTACAAACGCTGCAAAGGCGTCGAAATCGCTCTGATCTTCCGTTGTCAGTCTTGAAATTTCGTACGTTTTGCCGCGTAAACTTAGGAAGTACCGGAAGAGCATATCAATCGTTTTCCCCACTGTCTTGGTGCTCTTATCCGTAAGCGAAGTGACATCAAATCCCATGTCAAGCTCCTCATCTTTAACAACATCCAACAGAATGGTATTGTTCAGTGCCGTCCACTTGGTCACGAAACCAGGAAATGTTTCACACATGTCTTCAAGCGAGATCACGAGTCTCTCTTGGGAACCCACTTTCAAAACCTCTTCTTTCAGATGGGAAGGAATGGTTTTATCTTTCACCAAAGGCAGCGAAACGTGACAACCAGTACGAAGAATCCCAGAGAGCTTCTGCTTTGTGTCTGCAACAACGAAATGCTGCGCGCTCTTGTCCATACTGGTCCAGTCTAAAATCGAGATTTTTGCCAGGACAATTCGCAGACAATCCAAGAAAGCTTTACCCGTGACAAACCCCATTGAGGATTCAGATACAATCGTCATCAACGATCTCGCAGCATCGTTTTTCCATGCAGTTATAATAGTCGATCGTACCAAATGGGGGAGAGAGTTGATCTCTAACTGGCCAGCATACATGTCCGTAAGAAAGTTCTGGTCTCGGTTGGCTTCAAAAATTGTGTTCAGCTTTGCCACAAGTTCATCAAAAACGCCTTGTTGGTCGTTCATGTTAACGTCCTTAACATTCATGAACAATTGTCCACGAAATAGACGCGGATCGTTCTTGATAAGCTGGACACCTTTCTGGAAACGAGAGAACAAACCGTCAATATCCTTATCAAATCGGCTCTCCATTCGAAAGACTGTGAATAACGACACCGATGCATTCAGCACTGATAAGAAGATATCTTCTTGCTCCGATCGTTCGAACGACCCCAGTCCCTCGAAATCCAGAACTACCAGTAGCACATCAGATACGAATCGTAAAGACATCCACGCTCCGTCAGTACAGCGTGAACCGGAGATCGCAAACGAAGTTCCTGCGAGGTGGTTCAAGAAGTAGCTCTTTCCTGTTGACTGCTTCCCCATTGACGTAACCACAACGCATCGTCCATTCCATGACTCTAGTAGTGGGGACAGTAAACCGAAGCGAATCGACTGAGCAATCTCCGACGCATCTGTCCCCGTTGAGTCATTTTCGCTGCTTAAACTCGTTCGACTGGCCTCATTACCAGTAGTAGCGTCATCTTCACCATCACGAAGTAACCGGAGCATATTGTCTTCAGCTCGGCAGATTTGTACAGGTACGAATGAAACAATTGCTACCAAAACGCGCCGAAGAGATGTCACTATCAGGCCAGTGGAGACGCTGGCCTGCTCAGAGCACCGACACTTAAGCTTCTTCGCCAGGTTTAACTGCGACAAAGGTTTGTTAAGCCGGCGCAAATCCAGCATCAGGTTGTTGAAATATTTCAAACAGGTATCGCCCATTCCAGCGCGATCTTCTTCTTTGGCACCTGCAGGAACTACTACCTCCAAGTCGAGAGAGAACGAAACATCCGGACTCACAGACTTGTCGATGAGACTTCGCACAGGAAACTTCTCAAAAACGTGGTAAAATACACGCAGCCAATGTTCAGTCGCAGTCTTTGATCGGCTTGTAAACGACAAGTCTTCGCCCCATTCCCAGATCTTTGGATGCGATATGCATCACTTCGTACAGTAACACTCAGCTGGGACGAGTAAATTGTGCCATTGCTCGTGTCGACCACGTATAGGACGTCGCCAATGCTACCAATGTCAAGCTTTGTCGATGGAATATTTATTCCGAAAATAGCTGTAGGTAGTGCTCGATGATCTTCATTGGAAATGCAGTTCACGAACAATCGTTTGCTCCCGTCCATACTGGTTCGTCCAACGACAAGCTCATCGGCAAAACTCATAAGACCGCCTACCCAGTTGGCGTCGCTGTTCTCCTTCTTGCAGTCCACTTTCTTCGAGGTTCGACGGGTTCGCACGTCAAAGGACTGAAAAGTTCGCTTCCATCGATTGCACATAGTGAGCGCTCTGTCAGTAGGATATCTACCAGAGGGCTGGCCAAGGTGAACGAGGCGTCCATGTCGATAGTTAGCGTCGCCTCGACACTTGTAAATGATTCGTTGAATCTGCAGAAGGCAACGCTACCCAGACGTCCAGTATTCACATTGAACAAGAAAGCAACGCGGCGATCATTCGCTCGAATTGAGCACAGAGAGCAGACACGCGGGAATGTTCGTACTTCTGATTGGAGGGCCTTCTCCTTCTTCTGTAGCGAAAATTGGATTCGGCGAACTATTGTGAGGTTTCCTTTCACGAGAACAGCAATGGCTAACCCCACTTTCACCGTTGCAATTTTGAGTAGTTTCGAGTCTGGTTCAAACTCCAGTGTTCCCATCAACGATATCTTAGCAGGACTGCTGTTACTCAGCTGGCGCATGCGTATCACCTTGGTCGGTTCTTTCTCGACCTCCTCGCTCCACACAACGTTGACCGCAGTGCCGTCCGAATTGCACATCAGTTTGCTGATCTTGATACTAAGCGATCCATCACTCGTTTTCAAATTCTCCCAAATGCGGTCAAAAGCTTTTTGCAAAATAATTTCTCTCTCTTGACCAAAACGAAACTCGGGATCAAATGTAGATTGCTGGATACGTTGTTCATGTTCTGGTGCTTCCATCCTCCACACGAACTGCCAGACCGCATCTTTCCAAATGTCTTCCAATCGGGGCTGTCGGTCATCCAAAGCGTCTTGTAAGTTGCTGCTGAACTGGCCATTGTTCCAAAATGCTCCCCAGGCATTTATAAAAGTTTGCACGAAACCCCAAACCCCTCCTCCACTTTCAGAGCCGAGTGGGTCGTCAACTAGAATCCTAAGTAGAGCGTCCTCAAATGCCTTACGATCGATCTTCAGTGCCTCATCCAGATCCTTCATGTGCGCTTGAACACGTTCAGGTAAATAAACCATCTTGTAGTCCAGGTAGTCCATGCTGCGAAATACATCACACTTCTCTGATTTCCGCAGGAAGCCCTCGTATTGTTTCTGGGCCTTATCCGTTCGTTTTGAGTTCGTTGGATTTCTAACCGTGAACAGCATGCGAGCGTTTCGAATAGCTTCTTCGTAGATATTCTCCGCATACTCGTAGGCTTCACGACTAAGTCGCTCTTTGGCGTCCTCCAGTCGCTTTTCGTGCTTTCGGCGTAACTTGCTTAGTTCATCGTCTGAGGACTGACCACACAACACAAGTAACTCGTCGCGTACATGTGTAGCCAACTGAACTCGCTTTGGTGGGAAATGAATCGCGAAATACTTTTGCTTCATTGTGATCCACTCTGCCAACTGAGGAATGAGCATTGATTCGTTATGTGGAACCATCTCGGTTGTTGATGGCGTCGCACGTTCGACTGCTACAGCCGAGAGCACCCCACCAACAAACCACGCAGTCTTGGCCCGCTCCAACCTTGGAATCGACACCTCTGTGACTTCACCGCAGGGTATAGCGTCCTTCTGCTCCACTTGCTTTTGAACTCGAAACGCAACTGAGCACGAGTTCCATCGCATGCTTGAGCTATCTGACATTGCATCCACGTCGCTCTTCACACGTCCGAAATCGTCTTGCGATAAGCAGCAGGTGATGTTGGAGCTAAGAGTGATTAGAAACCGAAGGACATACGCTGGGGTGTTTCGAATGGCCTCGGGTTCGAATAAGCTCGAGTCAAGCCACGCGAAAACGATCAACTGGCGGTGATCTCCACTGCGTTCAACACAGTACACACCTTGGTCTTCAATGGGCAATCCATCTTCACAGTCGGTACTCCAGAACCCCATTCGAGTAAGTTCATCCTTGATTTGGAGCTGCTTACCGAACAAGCAACCAATCTCCACTGCATCTTCACCTTTTTGCTCTTTCATGTTTCCAGCAACCAGCTTCCACGAATGAATCGGGCAAAGTCGACGTCGTAGTCACTGGAGTTGAACATACCGAACTCGAACTTGTGCTTGGACGTTTGGTCCTCGTCAGCCACCGTCATGCCCAACAAGCGACACAAACGTAGCACGTCCAGTTCATCCACCACCGCTTTAAGAACTTTCACATCACTTTGCATCTCGTGCTTCAACCGCAGCAGACGGAAGCATTTGTTGGACACCACAGTACTCTGCTTCAGTTTCTTGTGAGTCATGCTCTTCTTCAATCCACTTGGCGTCTTCAGGGCGAACTGAAGAATGAGCCGAGCAGAGCGTTGGATTCCCTACCGAGTGGCTGGTGCTTAAAGACTGTCGATGCCCGTTAGGGCGGACATCCATGATTCCAACGACGAAAAAGCAGAAAAACCCGTTAGGCCTTGGAATGTTGTTTCTCTATTCAAACCTGGTCGCATCCACGTCTCTGTTGCCGACAGTTAGAAGGAAGAGAAGCTCGAGCGCTTAACTGACGTGCCTTGTAGGATCTGCTCAATAGGCACGCGCTTCTGCTCCATGCTGTCGCGGTCTCGAACTGTCACGCACTTGTCCTCCAGAGTATCGAAGTCCACAGTCAAGCACATGGGTGTACCGATCTCGTCCTGGCGACGGTAACGGCGACCAATGCTGCCAGTCACATCGTAGTCGACACTAGCACTTGCACACAAGTCCTCGAACAGCTTCTGCGCCACATCCAACAGTGGCTCCTTCTTGGACAGCGGCAGCACCGCAAAACGGTACGGCGCGATGTCCGGGTGCAGACGCAGCACGGTGCGTTGGCGGCCGTTAACTTCTTCTTCATCGTAAGCATCCAGCAGCATAGAGAGCATGACACGTCCAGCACCAAGAGCAGGTTCAATGACATGCGGTAGGAACTCTTCCTTGGCCACAAGATCCTGGTATTTGAGGCTCTTTCCACTTGCATCCATGTGCTTCTTCAGGTCGTAGCTCGTGCGGTTGGCAATGCCCCACAGCTCACTCCAACCGAAGGGATACTTGAACTGAATGTCCGTTGTAGCCCGTGCATAGTGTGCCAGTTCCTCAGGTGCATGTTCGTGCTTTCGCAGGTTCTCTGGTTTGATGCCGTACTTGGTCAAGAACTCGTAACATTGGTCCACCCAGTAGAGATACCAGTCGTCCGACTCGTTCGGGTGCGTGAAGTACTGCAGCTCAAGCTGCTCGAACTCGCGTGTACGGAACAAGAAGTGGCCAGGTGAGATCTCGTTACGGAAGCTCTTGCCTACCTGGCCAATACCGAAGGGAAGTTTCTTCCTCATGGTGCTCTGCACGTTGGCAAAGTTGATGTAGGCGCCCTGTGCCGTCTCGGGGCGGAGATAGATCCAGTCGCACGTCTCGTCGGTCGCTCCCATATTGGTGCGGAAGAGCAGATTGAATGTTTTAGCTGGATGGAAGCTGTGGGTTTCGCCGCAATTGGGGCACGCGACGTCGTGCTCTTTGAGCAGATCGTCCATCTGAGTGAGGGACAATGTGGCGACGGCGTCGACCTCTTCTTGAGTCTTTAGCTTGGATTCGAGCAGTTGGTCCACGCGGACTCGAGAATTGCAGCTTGAGCAGACAGTCATGGGGTCTGTGAAGTTATCAACGTGGCCGGAAGCCGTCCAGACCGCCGAATTGAGCAGCACGGCGCTGTCGAGGCCCACGCAGTCGGGACGTTTCTGCACGAACTCGAACCACCAGCGGTCGATCACGTTCTTCTTCATGAGGACGCCTGGATCCAATTGCAGCGGTAGTTAGTTAGACACTATTTGGCACGGACGCATGGAAAGAGGAGACTGTACCAAGGGGCCCATAGTCGAAGCTGTTGGCCAGACCGCCGTAGAGCTCCGATCCGGGGAAGACGAAGCCGCGATGGCGACAGAGAGCCACTAGGCGGTCTTGCAGGTTGGTGGCCGGCTTTGTAGCGAACCCGCGGCGCGTGACACTCAACGCACTGCGGGTGGAACGATGCAGCATGGCGATCGATTGATACACTAGAGCGCGATTGGAGACCGTTGCTTGGAGCGACCTTCAAGCGACCGCGATTAAGCCATAATGCTAATCGCAAAGAAACGTGACACGGGTCCGCGTCGATGTATGGGATTTTATATTGAATATTAGAAAAATACTGAAACCAAGATGCGGGTCCCCGGAAAATATAGTCCAGAGAAATTTACATTTTTCGTTAAGTAATTTATGCTAAATAATAAAAGGTCACCCACTATTGCCTACCACTTATGGTGAGGAAGCAGAGGCTATTGCGGTTATTACTGAGCGAGAAGTTGGAGACAGTGGAAGCTTGGGCTGCTATATTGGAGGATGGTGGGGAATACGAGGTCACTATTGGTGCTGCGGTAGATGGCCAAGAGGGAGGAGGTCGTGCACCATTGATCCGTTCGATCAATGAGGTGGTGCCACATTTGCCGGGATACACAATGGTCTCTACGTCATTGAAGGCGCTGATGAGCTACGCCGTTGAGAAATATCCACGCCAAGTGAATCAGCTTGTGCAAGAATGGCTACGTGGTGGACACAGCGTTTACTTACGGAGGTGGGTAATCCGCGACTGGCTTAAGTGTAGGAGCCTGACTTCAGTGGATTCAGTTGAGTTGCTGCAGTGGAGACACGCATTGTTTGTGGCGACTATCAATGAGACGGCCAAGGCTTTAAAGTGGGCGCTCTTGGGATACCTCAATGCAGTCGATGAGGCTATTGGAGATCAATTTGAAGACGGTAAGGTGACAACCAGGACTCCAGATGCCGCGATGCCATCGATGAAAAGTGTCGAGGAGCTGCTGGGCTTTTACTTTTTGCACGCTGAGCAACTGGCGAGTTGCAGTCTCCTTTGCGCTGCTAAACTACATGCGTTAGCGGTACGGGATCAGAGAAGCTCAGTGAAGCTCGTAGAGGACGATGAGGTGCTGGTGAGACTGCGGTGGTCACTTATGCTGAAGCCAATGCTGTTCAAACCGCTACTACAACATGCCATCGCATTGAAAACTATGCCAGGCAAAGCTACGGCAAGCCAGTATTGGAGCAGCGAAGAGTTGGAACGCCTTGTGGGGCTGGTTGATATCACCGATCGGATGACGTTCTTGGATGAAATGCACGCTAGAAGAGACGAGTTAGAGTGTGCATTTAAGTCTGGCGTCGAACACATTTACAGCTCCACGTCGAAGGAGCGATCAGCTGTCGAAGCTGCTGTGGCAGAATACCTCGGCTCACTTTCAGACGAGAAGAGGCTTTTACTGGTCAAAGAGCTCGAACGAGACTTGGATGAGGCACCTCCTCACTTGTTCCCGTACGTCTTTATGTTCTTTGGATTGGTTCTCAGTGCGACGCTCTTGTTGCCAGACCAGGACCTAGTCGTAGAAGCAGTGAGTATCCTCTTCGCACTCCTCTATCGACGCACTCACGACGCTAATAGCTGCCTTGACGCTTTCAGTCTGTTGCTTCGTCTCCAAGTAGCCTCAAACGTTATCTGGCACGATAATGCGCTCTATCTTCAAGCCATTGAGTCCCTCTCGGAGCAAGCAACGCTACAAGTGGAGCCTAAACTCAAGTGGGTGGCCAGGATGGCGCTGCACCAACTCCTGTTCGAGTGCGACGTCCAGGTCCTCCAACATAACACACCCAATCTGTCCAAACTCCTTCCTCGGTGCACAATGCGCCTAGTGTCCATGCGGCTCGGCAACTAAAAAATCATTTTATTGTTTTTCTTCACGACGCTTTCCGCCTAGTTGCTGCCCTCCACAGGCTTGGACATGCCTCCTTTCGGGCCGTGAATTCTCTGACGCATGTCCATTTGGCCACGCTTGCACTCAAAGTAAGCTACACGGTATTCCTGTACAGTGAACACTTTAGTCTCTCATCCGTGTATCCTCTCCACTACTGCCCTCACCCTGCATTCGTGTGCGTACGCGCGGTCGTGCAGACACTGCTTGAGCGTTTTCGTGCCGTCGGCCATGCACTCTTGCTGCACCATGCAGTCCCGCAGAGCCTCCGCCATGTCACGACACGCTTTACCCATGACGATTTACGGCTAAACGCTTGTGCAGATTCACGTACCAGTATTTTGGTACAGCTGGTAATTCCGCGTATCTTCTTGAAAACATTTTGATGCCATTTCATAATTCGTCGCTAGATTGACACGATGCTTCCACGTGTCCGTGTGGCGCTGTTGCTCTTGAGTGCTCTGGCCGCCTGCGTGCTGGCCGATTATGGCCCGAGGGATGCGGTGACGATCCTTACGGACAAGAACTTTGAGAAGGAAGTGCTGCAGAGCCCCGACTACTGGCTCGTCGAGTTTTACGCTCCATGGTGGGATCTCTCCCAATGCTACAGCTGCAATGCTAAAAGCTGCAAGCCGTACAGTAGACAACTAACCGATGGATGCTAATCCATGCAGGTGCGGACACTGCAAGCAGTTGGAGCCGCAATACAAGGCTGCGGCTAAGAAGCTCAAAAAACATGTATGCATTCCAGGCTTTTGTGGAATTTGGAGTGCTTAATGTACTGACGAGTAACCTTTGAAATGTGGGTATGTGGGTTTGTACGCTTTGTCGGTTGTTGCTGTAGGCGCGTTTGGGAGTTGTGGACGCCACCGTGCACCAGCAGTTGGCGCACAAGTACCAGATCAAGGGCTACCCGACGATCAAGGAGTTCGGTGCCAAGAAGAAACGTCCGCAGGATTATCGTGGTGGACGCACCACTAGAGAGATTGTGCAGTATGTGAAGAACTCACCTGAAGCCAAGAAGCTCGGCATTAGTGGTGCTAACGTTGCCACACTGGAGTTCGCCAAGGTGCACGCGTTCTTGACCAAGGACCTGCCGTCGGCCATTTTCTTCGGTACTCCGAAGAAGGGTAAGAAGAGCTCCAAGGTGCCGGCGTGGCTGGGAAATGTGGCAGAGTCGTTTATGGAAGGTAAGAAGAAGAAGAAGACCCCCACAGTGCAACTGGCGTTCGTACCGGGATCGGATGACAAGATTGCCAGCCACTTCGGACTCACTGAGGACCAACTTCCGACCATTATCTACGTCTACCCGTCCAGCCAGAAGTACGTCGTGTCGGACGTGAGCAAGCTGAATGAAGCTACAGCCAAGAAATTTATTGGTGATGCATTGACGAACACGGAGGTGGCGGAGAAGGACGAGTCACTGCCTAGTGTCCCACTGTTCCCTTCTCCTGAATTGGCCAAGAAGAAACCTGTGCTCGCTCTGAGGGAGCTGGACGCAACGACAGCTCGTGAGTGCGCTGCTAAACGTGGGAAGATGTGCGTCGTGGTGGCCAAGGAGGACACGGAGCTGGTGCGCGCTCTGGCCAAGAAATACCGTCGCGATCCGTTCACTTTTCTGTCGAGCAAACCTGACGCTCAAGCTTTCCAGGCTCTGACCGACTTTGTGGGCGAGAAAGCTTCGGAGGTGATTGTCGTGAAGCCTGGCCGCAAGGTCAAGTACTCGGGTATGTACACATGTCTTTCGATGTTATAATGTGCTGTACTTATCGCTCTCTTGTCTGTGGTACTCCTCACCAGCTCTCAGTGGCACAAACGACGAAAACGCCATCTCGGAGCTCCTTGATAAGCTCATTGATGGCTCCAGTCCATTCTCGGTGCCAAGCGGACATCTAGAGGCTTTCGAAGCTGCACTAGCCGGGTCATCGGAGGCTACCAAGCACGAAGAACTGTAGGCTGCTCTGAGCTAGCGTGAGCGCTAACTGGAGCATGTGGGCTGAATACATCACTTTTCGATACCCGTCCCATTTGTGTCATAGCGCTTTCAACGGGTTTGCTGCATCCGACAGTTAGGTTGTGGAAAGGAGCAGAACGAGGTTCATTTTTGCTTTGGACAACTGAGGAGCAAGCATGACTCGCAGAAAAGCAAAACGCAGTGCCAATGTGCTGGACAAGTGCTTCCGTCTCCTGCGCTTGAAGCACGAGGTGCAAAATGACGCGAGAGTGATGAAAACCGTAGTTGACGAAGTGGACGTGCTACGTTTGTGCCATTCACTAGGCATGGCCGTGTCAGACGAGGGCAACAGAGCGTTAATGCACAAGTTCGAGCTCGGAATGTTCAGCCCCAGCAAATATGATACAGACTTTGTCCGATTTGTTCGTGAGAAGTTGGATATCGGAGGTGGGAGCTCTGCAGAAGAGCAAGAGCAGCTTGAGATTGGCTCGTTGTTTGGCAAGCAGGCGAAAGTGAAAACTGAACTGGTTCGCATGGGCTTCTGGAGCTGCGAGTGCGGGAATAATCTATCGCTTCAAGACCAAGGCGTTTACTGCACTGAACGGGACGGTGAACACGGAGATCGTCGGCAGTTTATCGCGTTTTTTTTTTTTTTTTTTTTTTGCGTGGCTTAGTGCCAGTCTCTTCGAAGCTGAAGTCATTCGAGAGACACTGGCCTACGTTCTTCGCTTCTTGATATCGCTGAGCTCCAATATAACGTGCTGTCTTTCACAACAAGATTATCAACGGATCGAGAATGAAGTTCACGCGGCGTGTGATGTCACTACGACGCAGTGGAATTCGTGCTCAGTGGCGTTCCGGGTTCAACGACAAGATGAACAGAGTGACAGTGTTCGCTGTTCGAAGCCTACGAAGACGTTGATTACTAGATCTGATCCGATCAAGAGCGTTGAGTTCATTGGTGGTGCTTTCCCTGCTATTGCCGTCGAAAGTGCAAAGGCATCAACGACGGAGTGGGTTACAGATAATTCCTACATGTCGTCTACCGAATTTGCGGATTGGGTTCTGGACAAACATCAACGATACGCGTTAGAGCTTCCACGTAAAGAACTACCGGAGAGTATACGAGTCTCTCTCCTCAACAAGTTCGACCACTTCCCGGATCTGCAGGATTTGGGCCGCAGAAGCGATGAACAGCTAGAAAAGCTAAGCACAGGATTACTGGAGACGTTTCCGAGATGACAAAAGAGCTTTACATCGAAATGGTTCGAGATGGTGCTCTTTGCGATAAAAAAAAAATCCTCGAAGGGCTGTGCAGATGGGGAAGGCCAAAACACGTTATCAAGACCTGCTGAAACGCTTGGACGAGCATGATGTGTTAAACGAGTTAAGCGACCAAACGGCCACAGCTCTGCGCATGCCGCAGCGATTCCAAGCCAGTATGAGTGCTCTACACGATGCGTATATCGAGAACAGTTCTCGTTTTGACGGTATACTGAACGAGATTATGAATGGCGCCCCCGTTGACGAAGACGGTAGTAGTCAAGTCGGGTGGTTGAAAGGTGCACAAGATGTTTTGCGGCGATGGTGGAGTCATGATGACCAATATAGTATCAGATTTCGACAGGCAATAGAGACTCGGCAGACCAGGTTGCAACGTCACTGGATGGATGCGGTCGAGAAGGCTGCGTCCAAGCTTGGAGATGCGATACTGGGCCAACGAGTTCTTCAGTCGACAGCCGATCGGGCAGCTCAGATGCAGCAGAACGTAGAAAACATGGTGAGTGAGGCGTTTAAAAGACTTCGAATGTACCTGGCGGACTCAAGTGATCAGAAACTGGAAGCGAAGATCAGTGCTATAAGGTGTATAGGATGTCAAGACGATTGTCCAGCAGTCAACATTAAGTGGAATAAACACGTGGAAAAGGAGCCAACCAGGCAAACTACCGGGTACCAGTTGACAAACGGTGACATTCGCACAAAAGTATTTCTTTTGGGAGTAATGGAATTTGAGCCGGTCTGTGAGCTTCTAAAACTAGAAGCTGTGAGAGCATGCATGATTGTTGCAGTTCTCGTAAGAAAGGAAGGTAAAACGGTGGTTATACGATATCAATTTCCAGCTCAAGTGGATTTGTTGGATGAAGTGGAGGCTGATCAGCTCGAAGTGCGTGTATTTCCAAAAGAGTGTTTGTTATGTTCTATCCGAGCGAAGGACCGGCGAATGGCTTTCACGTATGGAACAAATGGCGGCCGGCTTGGCACAGTGTTTCTGTATCGATTTGATGAATCATTCACGCACCTCGATGTAATGCGGGGTTTCGATATGGACACTATTTTTCGCTTGAGCTCTCCTCTCGTTGACATTTTGTTGACAGAGATCACTATGCGCTTTAGACGCAAATGGGGACCTCCAGTCGTTCGACACGCGCACTCGTCAAACCTCAAAGAAGATTTCGCTTCGTGGACATACCAGCAGTGAGGGCTGGGAGGATTGATGTGCTTCGCAGACGAGCTCGTACTTGGTCGTGCTGGAATAAATGGTGAAAAGCGTTTGTTGGTGGACTCCATTTCCAGTGAAGACCACCGCAAGTTACCGTCTGCAGCTATTGAAAACATTTCGATAAAAGGACTCGTAGCAGTTGGCTGTGTGGACGACGTGTTGTACGTGGTTGACCCTAGCGACCGCGCCATTTACGCGTCAAAATTGAGCGTTACAGTTCGTAGCGATGCCTATCGCATTCAGCGCTCTGGTCAAAGTAAAAGTCAAGATTATACACGACTAAACCAACAATCGGGCGATAATACGGCAGAACACTGGCTGCGCGTGATCTTTCACGTGTTTGAGAAGTTCCCAGCGCAAAGCTTCATTGACGCTGCAATCAATCCCAATTCCTCGTGCTCTCTTGATCTGGGGATCGTGGTCGATGATACCTCATACGATAACTCAGGGGTGAGGGATACAGGTTGCGGTGTGTTGCAGTTTTCTCAGCAGTGTGATGACCGATCTGAGACGGCTCAACAAGCCACTCTCAGATTTAGATTTGGCCAAAACTATAAATTTGACCACTATCCTCCAGACCAGATCTATTGGACAACTACTGACTGCTATCGTTTCATTCGTACCTGTACAAATCTGCCGAGCTGAAGACAATATGCTCCGGTTACTTCGTGATGGTGATCCGTGTGGCGCTGTTGCTCTTGAGTGCTCTGGCCGCCTGCGTGCTGGCCGATTATGGCCCGAGGGATGCGGTGACGATCCTTACGGACAAGAACTTTGAGAAGGAAGTGCTGCAGAGCCCCGACTACTGGCTCGTCGAGTTTTACGCTCCATGGTGGGATCTCTCCCAATGCTACAGCTGCAATGCTAAAAGCTGCAAGCCGTACAGTAGACAACTAACCGGTGGATGCTAATCCATGCAGGTGCGGACACTGCAAGCAGTTGGAGCCGCAATACAAGGCTGCGGCTAAGAAGCTCAAAAAACATGTACGCATTCCAGGCTTTTGTGGAATTTGGAGTGCTTAATGTACTGACGAGTAACCTTTGAAATGTGGGTATGTGGGTTTGTACGCTTTGTCGGTTGTT